AGTGCCTCGCCCCCGGCCATGAAAACACCTCGCGATGGAAACGCATACGCAAATTTGAGCAACCTATTCTACATTTTCTGAGAAGCCGGTTGTTTTTCTAAACAGTAAAGCAGCGATGCAGGCGATGGGCTGAGTCGCCCTGTAAACCAATACACCATAAACACTGGAGGCGCATCAAATATAAATTTCAAACAGGTTAAAAATACATAAGGTTGCAAAAGTCTGTCTGCATGATTCATCAGCGGGGTGAGCGGTGTTCTGTTGCCCACAGAGGCGAATTCACACCAGGCTACTTCGCAACTGGACACGGCTGGTGCCCAGGGGAAGAGCCCCCACCCCGGGACACTTCGGGGGTCTAAAACCCAAAAAGCCGTTTAATAGCCAGATCATCACCGGCTATCATCTAAACCCAAGTTAAAAATTGTATCAGGGTATAATGCTGCGTTTTACATCTTACATTCTTGGATAATCCAGTTTAATCGGAGCCCATCCGAGCGATAAGCGACGTCTAAAATATGTTAAAATGTCGATTTTAATCATGTTGGGAAACACCTAATAAAACAGTCCAAGTCTCCGCGATGTCACGTTAAAAAACAAAAACAGAAAGTTACTTTAAGATACGGATGGATGTGTCAACACGGACATTAAAAATGTTTAGGTTGTGGAACATTTTCCCTCTTAAATCCCCAAATAAACACTATTTAAACACCAAGTTGTATGAATAAAAAAGGCGAAAGTCGAGTTAACCTTCACAGGCTGCGAGCAAACACATCACAGCGCCGACTCGTGATTCTCCAGGCGGGCGGGATCTGACGAGAGGCTCGTTCACAAACCACAATAAACGTTGTTCCTGTACAAAAACATAAATGTATGTAGGCTCCAAGCCTCTGAACGAGCCTTTGGAAGGTCAGATGAACGTATGTCCGAGTCGGCTGTGACCCACGCGGCGCCGCCGCGGAGGAGCTCGGCTTCTCAGCCACGTTTCAAACTTTTCACGGTTCCATTAACGACACACAAACTTTTCTCGGAGGAAAAGTCTCGAAAGCGGCTTTTCACTCAGACAACAGGCTCAACAAAAATCCAAAATGTCGTATCCAATGACCTCAGCGCCCATTTCACTGCCATTTGCAACTTAAATTATATCTTAAAACACCGAGAAGTCGGACACTTAGCTGGAAAAGGCAAAACACAAGGGCATGGGGGGGAAACGGCGAGCGCTTACTTGAACCAGAAAGCCTGAAGAAAGGAGCTAAACATGCAGATGTTTCTCAAAATCCAAAGTCCAGGCTGCTGGGAGAACTAGAGCTGCCCATTTCAGGCTCGTCCGAAGGTAAACTGGGAAATAACAGTGGGAGAGAAAACCCCCGTCGCGTCCGTAAACTCCTCAGCAATGAAACACAGCATTGTTTGCGGGAACCGCCCCTCTCGTTTGCTACCACCCAATCCCAGCTCAGCCCAGGACGTTTTACTGTCTGATTGGCTGAAGCGAGTGTCAATCAAAGTCCTCAGGTATTAAAAAAACACTGACCGCTCGCCAACACTATAAAACCAATTATGGAGCAAGGAGCTTGAACCGTTTCAAGGCCCCCCCTCTCCCTTCAAGACCGAGCGATCAAAACAAGCAGTGGGCTTTTTTGGAGGGGGGGGGGAGACACGCAAAGACTGGGAGGCGGAAAAAACTGGGGCGTTGTTACCTTTAAAAAATGCTGCACTTTGTTATTAATGCGGACATAAGTTTACTTCTTTTCAACTGGAAGCTAACGGCCTGTCGGTAAATTTCCATACACCCACTCTCCGTCCCAAAAAGGAAAAGAAATACGACCTTAAACATCCAAATCAAAACTTAGCACAACAGTCACAGTTTCTCCAGATCATTCTAATTGAATTATTCAGTTTCATTTGGATGTAACAGACCAATTATTGTGGATATATTTACGGCTGTGGAGCAGAAGTTTAGGCCCTGATAACTAACAAAACTGTCACTAAGAACAAATCTGTGTGAAAACTATGTTTTTATTTTATTATTTAGCACTAAATACATGTTTATTAGCGCGTGAGGATGAGTTTAATGAATGGATGAAGAAGCTATACTGAAAATGGCAAGAACAAATTCCGGGCTTCTTCCATATTTAGATCTCCGTGTAATACTGGCTCCTGACACGCAGACTGCGCCTTTTCACACCAGCCATCACAGTCACATTCACGAGCGCCACATTTTTATTAAGGTATGCAAATACCCCCCCCCCCACATGCTGAAGGTGAATCCTGGATGGATCCTTGTGCGAATCTGTGCCGAGTCTGCGCGGCGACGCGCTGATTAGCATTAAAAGAGGAGCGAAGTGGCTCATTTAGTGCTGCTATGTTGAAATTCACAAGAGGAGGGGTCGACCTTTGGTGTGACCAGGGGGCTCTGATGACCCCCTCACATGACCTCTGTGTTCCTCCTCGTGCACGGTCCTGTCTGACGCTCGCGGATGTTATTATCCATAAGTTGCCTTTGAAGTAAACCGCTCCGCGCTACACAGTTGCAGAAAATGTTGTTTAAAAATCCGGGGCGGTTTCAAGCTGCCCATGTCACCCCTCCCCTTCAGTTCTCCAGCCCCTCCTCCTCCCGGTGTGTCGGTTTCAAGGCGACCCCACAGAACGGGAAACAGAGACCAAGTCGTGGAAGAGGAGGAGAGAGCAGCGGAGGCTCCGCTCTTCTGAACAGCCAGCAGCACGAGCGGAGAACCGGATCCGGTGTGTAGGTGTCCGGTATCCCTCGATGGCCACCCCTCCTCGCCTTTCCCTATTTTTTTGCCCATTATGGAGAGGCCGCTCATCGATACCCCTCTCCCCGCTGACCTGCCTACTCTCAGGGGCTGTCACCCCAGACGGGACCCGGGGAGGGAATTACCAGGCGGGGATCACAGTGATGTCTCGAGATCGG